ATAATAAGCTCCCCAGATCTTTTGATCAATCTCTTTTCCCCTTTCATCCTCCAAGTTTCTCTTTTGAGAGGCGATGGACGAGGATTTCGACATGCCGACGGGCGACGACATGATGAACGAGGACGCGATGGATCTCCCCGATGAAAGCCCCGTGGTCAAGGTCGGCGAGGAGAAGGAGATCGGAAAGGACGGGCTCAAGAAGAAGCTCGTCAAGGAGGGACAGGGTTGGGAGACCCCCGAGGTCGGCGACGAGGTCGAGGGTAGGTATTCGGTTCCGAGTTTGATTGACCCCGTGGCGATCCCTGGCCCTCTGATCGGCTTGATTTGATTTTGGTTGCAGTGCATTACACCGGGACGCTGCTTGACGGGACGAAGTTTGATTCCAGCCGCGATCGGGGGACGCCGTTCAAGTTCAAGCTTGGACAAGGTTAGGGCTCCCTCTCGTTCCTTAGGTGTTGCTTTGTTTAATTTGAACCTGTTTATATAGGCGCGAGGTATAAATCAGGTAGCTAGGGTTTAGTGACGAATTGTTGCTTTCAAAGAGGTTCATGTGGATCCAGTTAGCGCTTTTGTGGTTGTTTTGATAGGTGAATTCCGCAACAGGCGATGATCCCTACAAGGAGAATGTGGTTGTTTCAGTTTTTTTTACTGGTTACCTTGGTTTTCTTTCCTTTTTCCCCCCAGAAGGGGAAGTTTTCAAGTATGTGTCCAACCGATAATCATTCTGTTCTACTGTTAATGTGAGAGAACAATTTGCTCATCAGCAAAGAGGGTTAACTGTGAATAGACCCCATGTTGTATCGCCCAACTGCAAATCTCTTGTAGTTCTATTTGTGTGAATAGAGCCCCTGGCCGAATTGTTTTCCTGATATAGTCCCACTTCGGAAAAATTAAGACTTTGAATGGTTTAAATAGTGAAGTCAGAAGGATTCAAGATAAACCAGTGCTAGCATCCTTTGATAGTGGATTGTAATAGTTGATTGAGCTAGACAATGTGTTGCTCGTAGTGGGTCGCGCAGAGTATAGAGCGCTGACGGGCCCTTGTGGTTTGCCTCTTAAAAATAAAAATAGTCGTAGGTTTTGAAGGGGGTCTATCAATTAGTCATAAACTGGTTTACTTGAAAAGTTATCTTTTTTTCCTTATAATTTTAAAAGGATCTATTTCTGTTGAAGGATCTATATTATCAAACAATCAATTGACAAATTATTGAGTGCCAGATACTACATTCTGTAGGTTGTATGTTTGGTATGAACTACTTATTAGCTAGCTATGCACTTCTAATGATTCTAGCTGTATTCATATTTAAATATGCTCTGAAGCTGTAACTTCGGGTTCTTTTTTTTACAAGGGTTTTCGGCATACATAGTTTTAGGTGTGTACATTTCTTGTTTATCTCTGCAAATACTCCAGTTAAGATTTAATGCTGCATATATCCGTCTTTTCTGGGCATGATTTTACATAAAACTACACATAAAACTATTATACTATAATTAACGCATGCCTATGCTGAAGACTATGGTGCCTTCCACTTCCAGTGCTAGTGGACACGACGTGTTTCTTGCTGTTTTCAACTGTTATTTCCTATTGCCTACTGCCACTATAGGCTTTTCTATGCTTCGTGCTGATAGTGATTTTTCACGTTGTATAAGCCTGTTTGTGTTTTTGTCTCTGAATCCAAAATTTTGTATCTTGTTTGTCAATTGGTATTGATGGTTAAACCTTCTTTTTTCTGTGTTCTTTTGTCTGTTCAGGGCAAGTGATAAAGGGATGGGATCAAGGTATCAAGACCATGAAGAAAGGAGAGAATGCCATATTTACCATTCCTCCTGAACTAGCCTATGGAGAGTCTGGTTCTCCTCCCACTATTCCTCCTAACTCCACTCTACAATTTGATGTCGAACTCCTGTCCTGGTCTAGTGTCAAGGACATTTGCAAGGATGGGGGTATCTTCAAGAAAATAGTGAAGGAGGGAGAGAAATGGGAAAATCCCAAGGACCTAGATGAAGTATTTGGTATGATCTAGTGCCATCGCTTGTATTTTTTATTTTCTCCTGGATACGTTCATTGGGCGTACCTAACACTCTTGTGTTCTTTGCAGTAAAATATGAAGCTCGTCTTGAGGATGGGACAGTGGTGTCCAAGTCAGATGGAGTCGAATTCACTGTTAAAGATGGTTGCTATCATTTTCTTGATATCTTACTTGTTTTCTTTAGCCAGGTTATAGACTTTGTTTTCTAACAAACTTTATCTTGCTTAGGTTACTTCTGTCCTGCACTCACTAAAGCTGTCAAGACGATGAAGAAAAGCGAAAAGGTTCTCCTCTCTGTGAAACCACAGTGTGAGTAACCTAATTGCCTTTGGTTTCATTGTGTTTGATTTAGATATACGCTATCTAACATCCTACTTTCTATTTGTGAATCAGATGGATTTGGTGAGAAAGGCAGGCCGGCCTCAGGTGAGGAAGGTGCTGTACCTCCAAATGCAAATCTAAATGTGGATCTTGAACTCGTCTCTTGGAAGACAGTTACTGAGGTTGGTGATGACAAGAAGGTCCTGAAGAAGATCCTCAAGGAAGGGGAAGGCTATGAAAAGCCAAATGATGGTGCAGTTGTTAAAGGTTAGAGTTTCTAAAATGGTCTCTGCATTTCTCTATTGCATTTATGTCTAAAGACAGTTCCTCAATTTATTGCATTTCCATGACAGTGAAATTAATTGGGAAGCTGCAAGATGGGACCATCTTTGTGAAGAAGGGTCACGATGAGGAGGAGCCTTTTGAGTGGAAAACAGACGAAGGTGAGATTTATTTTGTATAAGACACATACTACCATTTGGCTAGTGTATATAAAAGATTTGACTATTTCTTGACTAATGGTGGATTTTATCATTGGCAGAGCAAGTAATTGAGGGACTAGACCGAGCAGTAATGACCATGAAGAAGGGGGAAGTTGCCCTGGTGACAATACCACCAGAGCATGCATTTGCTTCCACAGAGTCAAAGCAGGACCTTGCAGTGGTTCCTCCGAACTCAACTGTGATATATGAAGTTGAGCTTGCATCCTTTGTGAAGGTGTGTTTCGACTCTACTTTGTGATTGCTTTATGTCGCTTATGCCTGGAAAAAAAATCTCATTGTTCTTTTCTCACTGTCAGGAAAAAGAGTCCTGGGACATGAACACAGAAGAAAAAATTGAAGCTGCAGGTAAGAAAAAGGAAGAAGGAAATGCATTGTTCAAGCAGGGTAAATATGCAAGGGCCTCGAAAAGATATGAGAAGGTAAATATAGTAGCTGTCAAAAGTTTTGCTTCCTTGATAAAACTTTAGTTATCCGTAACTATGATGTTCAACCTTTGTTTTCATTTTCTGGCTAATTTATCCTATCTATCAGGGAGCCAAGTTCATAGAGTACGACAGCTCATTCAGTGAGGAGGAAAAGAAACAGTCGAAGGCGCTGAAGGTATCTATCAACCTCAACAATGCTGCTTGTAAGTTGAAGCTGAAAGAGTACAAGCAAGCAGAGAAGCTTTGCACCAAGGTATGTACCTCACTTTTTCGTCTATTGTGAACCCATTGCGTTTTATTTGGAGCTGGTCTGTTTCGATTTTGTCAGCTTCTGTTCATTCATCATAATCTTGCATTCTATTGTTGTTGGGTTAACCTTTATTTATATTTGCAGGTGTTGGAGTTGCAGAGCAAAAACGTTAAGGCTTTATACCGGAGAGCGCAAGCTTACATTAATCTCGCTGATCTTGATCTGGCAGAGCTTGACATCAAGAAGGCCCTCGAGATTGATCCAGATAACAGGTTTGTCTAATGGTGAATTTTTGGCTTTCTGTAGTCGTCTCTGATGAATTTGAGACATTCACAAAGTCAAGTGGTGCTGGATAAATAATGCAGGGATGTGAAGTTGGAGTACAGGACGCTGAAGGAGAAGATGAAGGAGTATAACAAGAGGGAGGCAAAATTCTATGGCAACATGTTTGCCAAGATGAGTAAGCTGGAGCCGATGGAATCTAACGTAAGGACCAATTGCTAGTTGAAACGACTGCTGTTGAAATTTGTTGATTGCTTTTTTCTTCCAGTATTCTTACTGGTACTGCCGTATATCTTGTTGCAGAAGGCTGAGGCGACAAAGGCTGATGCAGAGCCAATGAGTGTTGACAGTGCTGCTTGAGGATTTTTTTCTACCCGTAGTGATAGTCAATGGTCTCTCATTACTTCCCTTTCCTGTTTTGGAGTCTGGTTTGTTCTTTTGATAATGAAGTTGCGTAGGTCGAAAGTTGCGTAGGTCGAGTCTTCATTAGGCACGTACGGTATGCAAGGGTTATAACAAGATTGTAGAGAATAATGGCAGTGTGAGAAAGTAGTCTGGGAGTGAAAAGAGATACTTCTGTTCTGGTTGTTTCTCAGTTTGTCATGATTTTCATCTCTATAATGATCTAATTGTCAGCATATACAGTTAACTGAGGTTCGTGTCCTTTCTCTCATCTGTTAATTTTTGTGATCTACGTTATGAGCGTTTAATTGTTTCTCTTCTTCTGTGTCACACGCTTATTGAAGCCTATCATCCCTTTGGCCTTAGAAGTAAATGGTGTGCCTGCTAGAACTCAATGTGGTCTAGGGACCGACGCTCCCGAATTGTTTGCCTTCGGTGACTGATATTGGGGTTGAAAATTTATATGGCGTTGCTTTCTACTTCTATGCATGTTGTGTACGAATGCTTCTATGCATGTTGTGTTTCACCCAGCTTCGGCGCTCTATTGATTTACCCTATTTCCTGCGTCATTCATGTCCAAGTAACAAACAGTATGTAAGCATGTATCAAATTTCCAGATGACAATACTCGACCGAACTTCGGTAACATTAGGTTCATCGTGCTAGACCAGATACCAAGGCTAAATTGCACTTAAAATAACTTGGTATTTATGTTCTCACTTGTTTTTCATAGCATTTATATACCCTAGAAGTTGTTTAAAATTGGCACATTCAAGTAGGCATCTTCTGCTTTCTCCTCAATTACAGTTTCAACTTCACGTTACCTTCTCAATCCTAAAGGGGAAAAAAATCCAATTATGTGGAAAAACATCTGAGAACCAGTTTGCTAGCAGCACGATGACGGAACGTTTGTTAGTTTTTCTAACGACTAGTAGCTGGCAAATGAGTCGAGGTCATTTCCGCTTTCGAATCTGAACTTAATTTCTTCACCGAGGTGTGGTGCTCAGGACATTTGGATGGTGCGATGAGGCGTGTCACGCCTCATCGAACCTGCCAAGGTTCGCATGTCCTAACCTTACATAAACATACCTTTTAGGTTCCCAGGCTATTTCTTTCCTGTCTGAGCCATATATTTGCATGCGGGGATTGACAATGTCAGTCAGGACTCTATTTGGCGCGAACCTCCCCTCTTATTTCATAACTAGAGGAAGGGAGCTCTCTATGCAAAAGGTAAAGATTTCCAAAATTTGACCTACTTCGCTGAAAATTAACGAGTTTTTTCCCCCCCTTGACGCTGATTTGGAGTTCTGTTACATCGCCAGATTTCTTGGCAGAAACTTCGCAAAGAAAAACAGAGTGATCACGGATTGCGTAATATAAACTTTGAGCGAAAGAACAATGAAGGAGAACTGGACTACCTGCTAAATCTGAAGCAGTGAATAATGCGATGAATACGCAAAGGTTCGCCATCGGGTTTTTTCCCCTCTCTTTTTTCCACGAGGGTTTAAAATATTTTCTCAATTTCTTTTTTTATCTTAATTTTCTTTTTGGGCTAGCTTATTGCACAAATGTAAATGTCTCCAGGTCCGGGACAAAGGCTTTTACAATGAACTCATAACCACAAATGCACTGAAGTCACTAAAAACTATAGAAAAAAATGATTAACGAAATGATTAAATTCTCCTTAAAGTGTTGGTGAGCTCTCGTGCTTCTCCATAGAGCATCAAGTTTCTCCATTAACTTAACTATTTTCCCCCTTAAAACGATGTGTATGTGTCCAATATGGTCATTTTGTGACCATATAGTCAAAGAAATAAATGATGTGATAGTGATTTTTTTCTTTTGTATTTCTTATATTTTCGGCAATTTAAAAAATATTTTTTCTAATTTTTAAAAAGGGTTAAAGGGGAAAAGGTTTTGGGCAAAAGTAGTTATTATTTTTTTTGTTTGGGAAAAAAAGAGACAAATAAAAACTATGAAGAAATGTGAAAAAACACGATCATATCATTAATCTGTTAAATATTTGACCATAGGCTTATAAAATAACTATATTGAAACCACAAACATAATCTAAGGGGGGTAAAATAGGTAAATTTGATAACAAATCGCCCTGTTGCTTTGTCCCTACTCAACATGTGTTGTTATCTTTAAATTTGACTACAAATTGCTCTGTTATTTTGGATTTAATGGACATTACACTTTTATGTTGTTTAAGACCATCTTTTAGGGGTGGAAAATTATGGATTGCCTCTCGTTAAAACCTTGCCATACACCAATGGGAAAGAGCCTTGGGCCAAGGAAAAAAGAGTACGGGAGCAACATAGATATTATTAATTTCAATAATTTTGACCATTCGTTACAACTGAAATGAGAAGAGGAGTACTTTCCTCCAATCAAATATAAACACCTTGAATTAACATGTGTAGCTCTGTCACCGTCTCTCTTTATTATGTGAAATGAAAGAATATGCAATCGTGAAAATATAGGATCATGAGCTTGATGTCCATAGCGACTGTTCCAAAATTACTCATGCAATGATCCGTATTATATAAGTACTTTTAGTGAAATATTTTCGTGCACTGTTTTAGCATAAATAAATTACTGTTTAAAGGCAGTGCATAATTATTTTATATTAAACTAGTATAGTGCACGTGCGTTGCACGTAATTATATTTGTTCATGTCCTTAATATGTTTTGTGGATAGGAAACTGATGAGATTATATAATGCAAAAAATAGAGATCTAAAATAAAGAATTAGAAACAAATTCTGGTCATTTTAAGGTAAAATAATGCATACTGGAATAAAAATTAGAATAACTATTTTCATCATTAGTTGTTATATTTCTCAAGCTGAATGATCCAATAGTGATAAATAATAGTATGGATATGTAAATCTAATCAAGGGCACTATATAGTATAAACGTTCATATGCTTCATAATTCGATGATTTAGGGAGTAGCAATACTAACACTCAAAATTCAAAAAAGAATAGATAGTAGAAAGAATAGAAAGCTAAAAACTAACTTGTATTGTAACTTGTAAGAGAGAACGAAAGCTAAACTGTCTTCTCTACATCGAAAATTCTATAATATAGAAGAAAAAAAATAAAAATTAGTTAATAGCTAAAAAAATAAAAAGAATTAATCGATTGACAAACATGAAGCTTAGTTTATCAATAACCTCACTAGAAAATAAATTTTGAAAAATGGTCATTTTGATACTACTCCCTTAAATCTTTAATATTTTGAAATAGTCCCCGAAACCGTTGATTGTCCCCTAATATTCCTTAAGTTATTTTAATCTTAATTCTTCCAATGATTAAAATTGCTAATATGTTACCCAAACTTTAAGTTATCTTGAACTTAACCCCTCAAATCTAAAACATTCACCATAACAAAAATGTTAATAACCAACACTCATTGCATTATCAAATAACCCGGCAAGTTCAACATTGTCCACTTGAAAAGCCAAGTTCCCGATGAAAGCTTCAAATCAGATGAGAATCTTATCTCATCACTACCCACAACCTCCCCTCTTGTTGATCGTGGTCTGATGACATGCAATAACTTTTAATTATCACAAATCTTAAGTTAAACTCTCTCCTTCTTTTTCAAGCGCCTTTGTTGGAGAAGTTGTCACCATGTGGTGGCAACGGTGGTCAAAGACAGCCATTTCGGGAAAGTTGAGCTTAGCTCAGTTTCCTTAGAAGCGGAGGGCAATCTCGTCGTAGTCGCGTGCATCAGCCTCAATAGTCTCGAAGGCGTTGAGGTAGATGTGAGGGTCTTTATGCAAGTCTCGAATATCAGCGATTTAGTTGCCCCATGGGCCATGGCCATGCATGGACGTTACGGTAGCAACAACGAGGCCTATGTTGGCTTTGTTTCTACTGGTTATGGTTGTTATTTTTTCCTTGTTTCTGTTGTAGCCATAAGAGAAGAAAGTTTAATACTTTGTTGAAACAAAATATACAGAGTGAAATTTAATACATCATCTGTTAAGGCAAAGATTACTCTTAGTTTTGTGTTTACAATTATAACATCATCAAGTGTTGTACATCACTTGCACCATCCATCTTTGCCCCCAGTCATTCATTTCCCCTCCTCTTGAACTTCAGAATTCCAAAACACATGTGCCCTTTACTTAATGATTTATGGGGGAAAAAGGAAGTTTAAATAAGGAATCAATAATTTATCACATGGGAAGTGGAATAGGTAGAGGGAAAGGATGAGGAAACAGTTCATTTTGAGGTGGGAGGTTATAAAAGAGTAATTATTATTTAGCAAATAGTAACACTAAAGTAAAAAGAAATAGCCATTGAAGTAATTATTAATTAGTGACTACTCTAGACAATAAAGTGGGGCAACAGTTCACCTTCCACTCAATCGGACCCAATAAGAGAACAAAAAAGGATTTTGATGAATGTCAATAAAGAGACTTTGATGAATACTAATACATCGTTGAATTTTTATAAATTATTTAAATGAGAATGTGAATAAAGGGACTTTAATGAATACTCATGCAATTGACAGGCATTTTGAAAAGAATTTATGCAAAAGAATTTATGCATGTATGGATATGAAATTCTTAGAGAACGTAATTATCACATTTATATTGAGCAGTTATGTGCATGTTCAATTTATGTATGTATGTACGTGGTGATGGATATCTTCAGAAAAATGTTTTAACAGCCTACAAACTTTTATAATAATAGTATAAGATTAGATAAGTTATTGAATCTTTAAAGTCTAAGAACCTAATATTAAATATTATTATTATGATGATGTGCAATTAATTTAATTTAAGAGTCATTGAATGAGAGTTTGAGATAAATTAAATAAATAAAATAATTAAGGTTGGATTTATCAAATTTGAGAGGGGTAAAAAGGGCAACCAAAAGTTTTAGCACTCTAATCCTCTTTTATATGTAGTATAGACATAGATTTGATGAATTAGAGAGACCGTCTACTATTTTCAAGATATCACAAACTATTAGATCTTGATAATGCAAAGGTTTTGAAATTTACAATCAATGGATCTTTTGGACCAAAACTTGGGTTGGTAGCTACTATTAACGATCAATAGCTCAAAGTTTTATTTATTTATTTTTTATATTTATTTTTCATGAGAGTTGTTACCACTCATCATATCCTGTTTTGAAGGATCATCGATAGCTCAAAGATTTGAAATTAATACTATGATGCCAGCAAACGTATAAAATTACCAGAAGATTTTTATTTATTTATTTCTTGTGCCCTATCTTGTTACTTCTTTTCACAATAACATGCTTGGATCAACTTTATTATTTTTTCATCATTAACAGCAAACATGCGTTGCACTAGAGAATCAACACTTTTTTGGTTAAGCAAAATCTGTCATGCTTAATTTTCGCACATAATAAACCTAAATAAGAAGATGACAAATGCCTTTTAACTTTTCTACGCTGTGCTTATTTTTCCTGTGCCCTGATGGTTTAGTTGGACACAAAATGGTAAAAAAATAAAGCATATAAGAGTAAAGAAAAGGGGCATTCCGAGAATCGAACTCGGGACCTCTCGCACCCAAAGCGAGAATCATACCACTAGACCAAATGCCCTTGGCGTTTGGGTACTGAATTATATATGATTTCTACCTTAAATATCATCCACACAAAGCCAGTCACAAATCATTATCAAAGAGAATTGATTCCTTAAACCCTTAGTTTTAATAAAAGAAGGTAAAAATATACAATATAGCATGTGCTTGTTTCTTGAATCGTGATATCACATTATCCAATATTTAATGCGCTTACAATATATGTACATTTGGTTGAATTTTGTAATTCCAATATATACTCAAGTACGTCTTCACCATGATATTGTTACTATTAGCAGCCTAGTTAAAGGGTTCTCTTTAAAATAGAGTTGAAAACAACCGCAGAACGCATTTAAAACATCTCATTTCCCCTCAGTAAAAAGATTGGACAATCTCATTTTCTTCAATATTCAAAGTGGCGCGTCAGGAGTCAAAAATAATTATCTTAGCAACAAAATTGTATCACATTTGTAACCTAACTTAGTTCACTGCTATTGTTTTTGATGTCTCTACATTAAGCTTGTTTATTGCCAAATACACTTTCTATCATCCTCCTTAAGAACTACACGTTCTCCGATCGCAATTACCAATCTGCTCTCTTCTTTTCAATCTGATCATCATTGAGCGCTTTTATACGCTTTGGTTTCGCTTTGAGACCCTTAATCCTACCATGCTTTCTTTTGCCATTACAGGCACAAAAATATGAGAAGTCTAGAAGTACAAATAATAAAAACAACGAAAAAGACGAGTATGATATACAAAATTTAGACAGGTACAGAGGCTTGGACACTGAATAAAAGCCAACTGCTTCAGTGTTTGTAGACTTTGTAACACAGTACAAGGAAGCTGGTTTCTCTACTTCGCTTAATGCCTACTAGTGCCTCGCTTTGGATCTATGGGATGTTCCTCTTGTTGACGGAGTCTGAAAAAGTTACCTTTGGCCCCTGCAAGTAATTAATAAGTTTAGCTTACTTTCATTACAGAACTTAGAGATTTTCAGAAAACAGGCAGAACATATTTCTAAATGATAGTTCACTCGATGGATTATTATCATTCCCAGGGGTAGAGAAGATTGAATAAAATAAAGAATTTCATTCTTCATTTTTTCTTTCTAGCTCAAATAGAAAAGCTCTACAATCAAGATTTGTAGGTTACCGGAATTCTGCAGTGAGCATTCAGATTGCAGAACATTTGCCTCATACGATTTCTTGCTTGTTCTTCCACTCTGAAGGTTCTTTGAGAAAGTCCTTTTACTTGCTCCTGAAAATAAAACAAGAGTTAGTAATAGCACTTATTGACACTAACGTCGAATTGCTGATTTGCGGCTGATGTTGATTTGGCATATGAGCTACTGGACACAGTTTAAATAAAAGTGAGCAGTTTTCTGCCTTAATAGTTCATCAATAACAATAGCAATAGCATTTTACTTGTTTTTGAATGAAAAAGTTTAAGATACATGGCCATAATGATGGAAGGTCACTCTGCTACATGTAGTAAGTTTCCACATTATGAAAGGAAAAAAGCAAATTCAGTGTATACAAACAGAAAACGGAGAAGGAAAAAAGTGAACAAGTAATATCCGCTTCAAAGAGAAGTTTGGAGATTCAATTATAAACCAGACAACCTGCTGCTGAAAATACTAGCAAAAGGCAATACTTCACCAGAGAACTACCGTGAAAAAGAAAACAGGTAGTTTAGGTTGGCAAACGTAGTGATCCATTAACACCATCAACCAGCCTATAGGTGATGTAGATTAAATATTTTTCTTATTCTCCTTCCTTTTTTTTAAAGGAAAGTCCAGAGCATATATTTAATTGATGCAGCTTAAGTAGTAAGGATCTATTTGAAAGTTTTGGAGTATCTTTAGCTTAAAATTTCTATTTGCAAACATACTTACTTATTTGCTAGGATTGAAGATATTATTCTTTAGGTAATTAGCTGAATATGAAGAAGGAGATTGAGATTTTGTATTGTGACTCAAACACCAAAAGTATCCTTCTTTGGATGAGAACCATTGACCATGAAGATTCAAACCCTATGTCTATTGTGTTCTTTATCACCAAAAAGAGCATTTAGAAATGCTTTATAAGACAAAAAAGAGCTGACTATTATGAAGGCCAATTCTGTTGAAATTAGTATCACTTGAGATAAGAGAAATACTTACCTCTTGGTGATCACAACGAAAATAAGAATAAACACATCATAGATTTCATGCTCCTCTGACATGTATCCTACCAACCCAGAATTGGTTCGCCATGTATGAAGTTGTTGATGATGGAATAGTTTTAACAGAGAATAATGTAGGTCAGAAATAGATCCGACCAAGTAACTGCTAAGGGATGTATAATTATTATGTTATATATTATATATATAATATATATATATATATAATAGTATATATATATTTTTATATATAATATGAGTGGATAGAAAGTCTTTTGCCCCCGGTGACAAAAGGCCTATTGTCACTTAAGTTGGACACAACACACTGGCGCATATGCGCACACAACACAACGCAATATATTTTTACACACACACGCGCGCGCACACACACACGCATATATATATATGACTGTAAGTCTTTTCTGTCACAAATATTATGGTAATATGTTAGTGTTGTAGCCTAACTGACGAACCTAACCTCTTGACCAAATAGCTCCTTTATTACTTTTGCCCTGGCTATATGCAACATTAGTATTAAAAAATGCAACTACTGGCTGTAGATATTATAAAAAGTTCATGTAGGGCACTCTTCAAGGCTCTTCCATATTCTACATGACAACTATAATTGAGGGCAGCCATAGGATGGGAGATCAGCCATCACAAAATTTGACATAATCTCTCCCCAAACAATTATAAAAAATAGCTTTGAATGGGTTACAAAGGTAGGAAAATGTTGTCTTAACATGCTGTAAAAAGAATTGAGATGGCCCTGTCTACTTAACATGCAATAAAGAAAAACCAAGCAATTACCTGACTGATTGGAAGAACAGTATAGCTTCCAGGACCATCAACCACTGGCACAACAGATCTCTCCACTATATTCCGCAAGCAGGATAATTCCTTGATTAACTGTTCTACCACCTCATCAGCATCTGACATCTGCTTCCTTGAAAATTCATAAGCCCTTTCTGCATGGACACGGAATGACGAACAATCTAAACACATACAAATCCCTTTACATCCTCTTGGCTGCTTTTTCAAGATGCCCTTTTTAGGAGCAAGGGCTCGATTCATGGCACTGCTAGGGACTTCAAACTGAGACACATTTTTATATGGTCTATCAACAGTTTCCATGGGTGAGTGTGAGAACTCTAGCATGCTGCCAGACAGTTCTCTGAATGACAAACCTTCAGGAATTGTAGGAGTAGAGGATGATTTCCATAACATCTCAAACTCAAAATCTGATCTTTCAGGAGGAGTGCCACTTGTATCGCCAAATATTTGCAGTTTGCTTTTGCTGCATGAATTGGATTCTTTTGTAACAGGATTCTGAGTATCTCCTTCAGAATCTAAACCAGGATTTTCTGGAACATGGTTCATCTCCAAGTTTTCATTTTGTTGCAAATGTGAAGGTGGAGAATCTACCAGGAGTACAGGACTGTTATGCTTTCTCGGTAAAGGGGTGTCATTTGACATTGGAGACCTTTCCTCAATGCTATTTTCAACTTTTATATTTTTGGAATCTATAATTTCCAAGCCACCTACATCGAATAAAGTTATAGAAGCAAGTCAGATTTGCACAATGGCAATTAGAAATAAATAAACAAGGTCAGATGAAAGCTACTTGATTCATGTTTGGCTAGATCCGAAAGATATGGTAGAAGTCTTCTATAGTTGAAGGAGCTTGGATTCCGATACAATTTTGACCTCGAGCAAGAAACAAGCCCCTGAAATTGATTTAAGTTTATTTTGGAAGTCACTTGGCTATAAGAGAATATCGTCATCATCATCTTCCTCATGAAGTTTAAATGAAAAATCTTAAACCCAAAGTAAACATAAAAAGGGGAAGGGGACAAAAGAAACCCTCCTAGACCATATATACAAGAGATAAAGATAGCTTACTTTAAAAATTATAAGTAAAAAATAATATAGGAAGCCTGACCTTAACAAAACCAACAAATTATAAACTTTCAACACTATAGAAACTATTAGACATTTACCGTATAATTCCTGGATGTATTCTTCAATGCTGATTTCAAAGGCGAAATGGTTCTTCCACTCCCAAATTCCGTGCCATCAAGTTTTCTGGTCAACTCAGCATCTGGTGGCGTGCTCTGAACTATATCCTCTCTGCAATTTTCAGACACCTTCAACTTTTCAGCATCACTTCCATCTTTCTCTTTGTTTGCTATTTCGTGGTCCCGTCTTTTGAGCTCATCCATGTTGTTTTCATTTACCTCCTCTTTAGTAGTAACCTCGGATAGCATTTTACTCCCCCCGCATGAAGTGGGTGATTCGACCTTCATAGGTTTCTTGACAATCTCCACATGGGCATCAAGATTACGGTCTTGTAGTACTTGATTTTTGTCACGATCAACATTTCCATGGGAATTTATCATGGGGGAATCTGCCAAGGGTGCAGCATGATTTTGTTTTTCAGATGACGGAGTGAGCAAAGGTGGCATTTCTTTCATGGGGTTTTCAACTTTTACTGAGAATTTATGGGAGCGAATGACTTCAATGCCACCTGCATCATACCAATTTAAAGGAAAAATGAGATTTCTAGTTTCATTGGCATGATGAAGGTATGCAACAAGTGAAGTAAGGAGCATGAGAAAGAATTGTTTACTTGAGCCATCCTTGGTTATGTCCTTAAGGAAGGGCAGTAATCGTCTATAATTAATCGAAGTTGGATTCTCAATAAGCTTCAACTTTGAACATGATGAAAACCCCTGGAATAAAATTATAGAAAATTTGAACATTTCATAGTCACTGAGAACAAGATAAAACACCATCCGTCATCATGCAGAAAGTAATTTTTAAACCCATTTACATAACTTCAAATATTTGATATAAGAGATTTTAACACTGATGGATATCTAGCATTTCGGATCAAGTACAAGCACAAACAACACATACTGATAAAAGCAAAATTTTATCAAGGAAAAGCAGGCGGAATTAGATATTTTCAGATCATGATTAGCAATCTCAAAAATCACAATCCTCACTGAACATTGATATAAATCAAAACATCAGAAAAGTCAGAAACTTTTGAGATAATGTTGATGAATATCCATAAGTTATTCTAATTTTCTCATAAACAGCAGATTCTGATTTGCA